TATTTATTTATTTATTTATTTATTTATTTATTTATTTATTTATATTGGTTGGTTGGAAATAGGATTTTAAAACTTGGTTAGATGGACAGTTTTTGCAGCGTACTGTTACTGTTACATGTTACTCAACAGGTTGTCGCTAGCTGCCACCAACCTGGCTAAAGCCTGTCCTCTGCCTACATCCTCCAGAATGCCGTGCACCTCTGGATCAGAGTTCAGTGGAATTATCAAAATTCTATCAGACCTACTTTCTATTGATATATTGCTCACGTGTATCTTGTGATATACGGTTATTATTTTATCGCCCAGCTTTAATACAACTTATTTTTTTTGACAAAGCCAGAGTATGGAGGCTTCATTAAGGTAAGGTTTTTTTTTTATCTCATCTAACCGTAAGGAGGAAAGCAAACTCGATTTCTCAAGTTCCAAGTTTCAGAGTTTTACATTGAGTCGCAGATGGTTCGTCCACTGGCCAATAACTCTGTAGCCGGGGTTGCTGACGTTGGACATCTGGTACTGGAAGATYTCGTACCGGCCAGGAGCGTCTCCATTCTCGTTGAACATCACTGCAGTTCCTGCGCTGCCTGTTTTTATGAGAGACAATTTCAACAAGCTGCATTCAGACAAAAGAAAAAAAATAAAAACAGAGGACATGAGACACACAAGTCTTACTGTAGGTGGCTGAGAGAACGCCTACATGCAGCTGAATACAGCTTGTATTGCTACCGTCTGTCTTGTGCAATCATGTGAAAGCTGAGTGCAGGATGCTCTTTAGTAAAGGCTTTCCTTGCTGCGTACAGTCTTTCAGTGCACTCTGCTCTGTTGCCCTGACATGATTGAATGTTCCTCTCAGGTCCCTGCAGGGGCTCAGTCAGAAAATATTCTACACAAGCCAGGGTCACCCAGTGAGGGAAGGGTGGTAAATAGGATGCTTTCATACAACACACGTTTTTTCTTTCCCTTCCAAACTGTATTTTTTATTTTTATTTTTTCTATGAGACGAGGATGAAAAGCAGGAGTGTTGTGAGTAGAAAAGAGTGAGGAGGCAGCCTTAGGGCGGGGGCACGCTTTGAATCAATGTGCTGTTTTCTGCAACGCAACATGTCTAAGATTACATCTTAAATCTGACATCCCTTCTGCTGTTCTCTCTTTGAAACTTATTTTCTTTGAAACAGTAACAAGAAAACGATTGGCAAAGTTCTTTTTGTTTGTGAATTTTTTTTGAGAAAGATAAAAAAGAAAAAGAAAAATCAACGAATGCCTCTCACCGTTGAAGTTGACCGAGCGGATGTACTGGAGGAGCATCCGTCCCTCCACAGGGTCCATCTTCTCGCAGACGCCCATGAAGCCCGGACAGAGGTCCAGGTGCATGCTGTGCAGAGCGTGGGCCATGGCGTACACAGCGTCGATCACAAACTGCACCTTGCCCTCCTGTTCGTACTGAGAGTCTCGACTGATTCGTTCTTCGCCTGACAGATTACCAACATATCCAGGATGAGAGGACAGATTGTGCACTCGCACGCCCTTCAGTTACTGTGACTTCCCCCCTCACCTGTACATTTCCTCCTGTCTGGGTCGTACTTTATGCCTGGTCGAGTCAGTTTGCACTTGAAGTCATCCTCCCAGAATTCTGCAAACCAGATGTTTCTTCTGTTGTTTTCCAGGGACCTCGAAGTGAAGTACTCGTCAAACCCTGGATGGATTTTTTGAGTTACGTGTTACAGGTATCACAGGAAGAAACCAAACACAACATGTACTAACGGACTTATTTTTGCATGAAAAAAATAAGACTATGACTCGTGGCAGAGTTCAGGTTGTTCAGACTCATCAATCCTTTTCTTTCCTGTTGCATTTTTATTTGTCTCATCTTTCAGTGTCACATGCGATATGCTTTTGAAGGTGGTCCCTGCAGAATAAATCTGATTTATTATGCAGTCCTACCATCAATAGAGGCTCTTTTGGGCAGGATAGTGACAGCGCCCTCAGCCACCTCTTCCTGGTCTTCTATGGGGGAGCTTTTGGCCCCCCAGCTGTCAGATCCAACAAAGAGGAAGTGGCCTGTCAAGTTGGCTCTTTTGGCTGACTGCAAGACCCGTCTGAAGAAGGAACATTTAGATCCATCACTGTCTTAAATATAAAACACGTTTCCCTGTGTACATTTCTTTTTTTTTCATCTTAAATAAAATAGCAGCAGAGCTTGACTCACTTGATATCATCCTCGTTAGCAAAGATAATAACTCCTCGAGCGTTAGATGTCTCCATTAGTCTCTTGACAATTTTGTCAAACTCTCCTGGTCTGGGTTCTCTGGGAATCTTTATAGACTGTGCAATACACAGTCCTCCTGTGGGAAATAAATCACAAACAGTACCGTAAATGTCACCATATATCTGAAATATGAAAAAAAAACGTATGTTTTGTTACAGATAGGGATGGGTAAAAATATAGATTCATCAGTGCATTGCATTTTTTTAAATTCAGTGTTGATTCAGAAAATCCTCTGATTCAGTTTGAGCCCCCGGTTTGTCATGTTTCATGTTTTCACTCCATGCTTAGAACAAGTATTATTGTGCTACTGCTTTATTTTCAGATATTTTATTTCTCAAAAATTTTACTTCTATTTATATTTTTAAAAATGAATATCTAAAACTTATCCACAGGGACACTAATTTTTTTTTTATTTCAGAACTTTAAAATTTATATTGAAGCATTTTAAGCAACATCAAATCAAATAGAGTTGTGATCCAAAGAGTTAAAATCTAATTGAATTGTGAGGATGTTAATTACACCCAGCACTAGTTACAGATGTTCAAACTAAATCAAATAGTGGTAAATAGACATAACCCTTTGTGAAAATAACAAGTAAAATTTGCTAAATTTAGCAACATTACTTGTTTGTGGAGCACAATAAAACATATTTATCTAAAACCTGCTACATTTTTGTAAACTGGATCATTTAAAAGTGCTCATTCAGCCATTTTAAGTGGCATTTTGAGAAAAAATATGAACAAATATTATATTTGCCGTACAAAGCTGTTTGAAGAATCTTATTTTGAGAAACAGAGTTTAGGTTCAACACGACAGCTACACTCTAAAAATGAAATGTTGGATTTACTTAAACATGTACTTAACTGAGTTGAGTAAATTCAAAGCAACATACTCATGTTCTTTGGCTAAAAACTGGTATATTGCTTTGAATTTACTCAACTCAGTTAAGTGGAACCAGGTAACATAACATGGTTAAGTAAATCCAACATTTCATTTTTTACATTGTAGTCCAAACAGAGCTGCATTGTTGCCATATTAAAACAAATCTATCTAWTGGTGGTTTATGCAAATGCAATTTTACAAACCTTTGCAATTTGTTAGTTTTGCATTACAAATTTGTTCTGGCTGAAATAATGTGAAATTTTTTATCTGAAAATGATACAGCTTTCTACTTCTGCTATCTGTTTTCAAAAAACAAAAGCTTCTATGTAAATTGCCTTACAATGCACAACAGATAGTATTATAAGAGTTTATGAAGCATTTGCATTACATTTGTAGGAGTGGAGAGTTTTAAAGACAGCAGCAATCCACTTCTCCCCAGCAGTTGTCTTGTCAGTCGTGTCAGAGTTGACCATTTTTCTGCAAACTAAGCTCGGAACCCGACTTCAAAATGGCCAGAATACACCTTTAGGAGCGGTTTGTTTTTAAACAGGGCTCTATGTTGTGTAATGTCGTCATCAAAATTTAAAAACCAGGAGCGTGGAGTCACACAAGGACACTGAGACCTAACAATACAATGTTTGAAACTTTAATTTCACATCTACTACGCAGCTCTAAAAACAAATTAAAGCTGAGCCTGCTGGGAATTTACTGAAGCTTGATTCCCTTTTACATTGTTTATGGCCTCCTTCTAATGTTGCTTCTAAAGACAGCTGTTCACCTCGTTTGGAGTGTTAACATGTGACTRGTTAACATTTACTGGAGGCTGTGAATGCTGCCGTCTTTACTCATTTGACAATCGTTTTAAAGATGCTGGGATATTTTCGTGTCAGAGCACTGATTCTGCTGTTAAAGATAATTRATCAGTGTTGTGACATCCTGTCAGATTTATGGCGTTTAGTGAAATTAAACAAGAACTAAACTTTGTGCTTTTAAACCTGAACAATGAGCTACACTGTTAGTCTTTACGCATTAAAGGATTGCCTTTTTTCTTTTTTTTTGTCTTATAATGAGCAAGAGCAGTGCAGCTTGATGAGTAATCCCTCATGGTTTCAGCAGTAAAATTTAGAATTCGTGCATCCAGAAGAGCCAACCTGCTTCTCTGGATATCTGAACGAAGGCGTCTACMCCGCTCTCGCCGTAGTTGCCCTCGGATGCCAGCGTGGAGACGTAGTTCCACCCCATGGCCTTGACTATGTCCAGCATGGCCTGGGCCTGGTAGGAGTCGGGGGGCACCACACGGGAGAAGAACTCGTAGCGGCTGTTGTCGCTCAGCTCCGGGGCAGTGGAGGCGTAGCTGATCTGGGGGATCTGAGACACACAGATGGGTCAGCGGTGACGAACAGGGGTCAGGTCAGGCAGAAAATGAGAGCGGCTCCAATTATTAGGCCAATAAGCGAATCAAAAGGTAAATGGGATGACAAGGGGAGGCAATGAAGCGTGTCAGAGGATGATGCACCTCTTATTCATGGACGAAGCCTTAACAAAGTCTAAATAAAGGCTTTCCTCTTTCGTTCTGTCGAGTTGCGGTGCATCAAATTGCAAAACTGAACTACTTTCAACTCCTAAACAGCAGCTCAGAAAATAAAGCCRGTTGGTGAAATACAGATGGAACAAACAAAAGCTGTAATAGCATTTGTTTCGGGGGTAGAAAAAATAGAAGAGATTAATTTATTAGTGCGCTACTTCTTTTAATGACAGCAGTCCCAACCCTGAACCTGCTAATGCTGAGCCCAGCGGAGAGGGGCGAGGAGAGAAAGGTAATACAAGGGCCGGTGAAGAGAGGAGCAGYGAGGAGCGGAGGACCATTTCACAGATTATCTGGGAGGATTATAAGGGTTTTAAGCAAATTATGTTAAGCACAGAAGGAAGAGAGGCAGAGATCAAAAGACTGGAAAAAGGTTGGCATGTCTCAGCTGTAATCCAGACAGTGTTTTATTCTGACCCTGCTTAAAAGTGCTGTGTCGTTTTAACCTTGAAAACCTCAAACCTCCTGCTCAGTCTTGAATTACTAAAGCATATTATCAATCGGGGTGATTTTTTTTTTTTCAATAAACTAAACTCTAGGGTGAAATCTGTACATACAAGAGGCTGTATCTGGATCACAGGCCGGACAAGTGTTTGCACACAAATTTGTAATGAGTGAAACACATAATCCACAAATTAATCCCACAGAAGCATCTGCTCTAATTCACTTCATATCAATGAGGCATATCAGTAATGCAACAATCCTTTCATAGACCCCCTTAAAGAAAAAAAACATAATTTTAATGAGTGAAAACCATGTTAAATTGATGGTATGTGTGCTGTATGTGAAGCACATTATTTCCTCTGTGTTTTGGAACATTTTCAGCATGTGGTCTTTTGCACCTATCTCTGTGAGCATCTCTACTGAACTAAATGGAAAGAGCACTAACTTTTCTTCCATGCATTTCAGGGTGAGGAGGTGCTGGTGCAAAGTTCCAGGTGTGTTTGGGCAAGAGGCAGGGTCTGCAGTCCATCACACATGGTGACAATTTAAAACTAACTTTTAAACCAAACTACTTCATTTTTTTGTTTTTGTTTWATTTGTGCYAAATAAAGCTCTAAAYCCAGGGGAACATTAGCAAAAGTTTAGTRAATTTAACTTGTGAAACTAAGCCTCATTAAGTGGTTAAACTATATGCAGTCATATTCTGGGACTATGGGAAATATTAGATACATCACCTGAAAGTGCCACTCTAAATCTGATGGGCCAAAAATGTGTTGTTTTTTGTTTTTGTTAGTGTGTGTGCAAGTGGGTATTCTTTACTATGAGGGGACCATTTTTGGCATACACACCTATTTGTGGGGACCAACTGGTACTTATGGGGACCTAAGCCTAGTCGCTATGGAGGGAAATGTTGTTGGTGGGTCAGGGGTTCAGACTGTAGAAATGAATGAAAGAGTTTATAAAACTGGGTGTGTTAGAAGGTAAAATAAAATCAAAATTACAAAAGATGGAGACTTGGACTGATTGTAAGATGTTGGTGATTGGAGTAACAGCTAATGGGCTGTGGAGGTCCAGTAACGACTGAAAAAGATGCCTTTTTTAAGTCATCCAAAGTCTTTTTTTTATTAACTACAATATGACATTTTTCTTTTCTAATCACTGTGCATTGCATTGGATGCAATGCACACTATTGTGATTCATTTCCCATCCATGTCATCTCCATTTTGGCATGCTTTGCCTCCTGCATACTTTGTCCTAGAGCTACCATTGRAATTTATATCTGTAAAGCTCCTGTGCCAGATGATGGCTATGCTTTTTGGTGCCTGTACAACTTATAGTTTTTGAAATATTAACATTTAAAATCATATAATGGCAGTAAATGGAGCCTTGTATTGGTCCAATACTGCCCCCATCTGTATCTACTCAGTACTGAACCATAGTTTACTAATATTTAATCTCAATAAAATATTCAGTGGTTCAGTGGTTACAATACTAATATGATTGTATTTTGATGTTTTACTAAATTATTGTCTTAATATTGCTCTATTGCTGTCATATATGCTGTCAATGATTGCATTGGRGATGTGGCCTCTTTCTGCAAACATAGAAAAAAACACAGGGACTGTGCTGWCCCAGACCTCAAATAGTCTCATGGTTCATGCATGGGCTTTCATGTGGGAGATCAGGGTTCAGAACCCAGCTTCCGCAACTTTAACAAAAAAAATCTCCTCAAACATRATATTGTCACACAATTACCCACGTTACAAACACCTGCTGACTTGACAGGCACAAGCTGGTATAGAAAACACATTTGAATGAACTTGGTCACAGTTCATTCTGCAAGTCCAATGCTGCAGGCAAAGGCATACTGCAACAATGACATGCTACATGGCAATGCACACTTGTTTTTACATCGTAAAAACCCATGTCTAGTTAAAATGGTTGTAATATAAGAACTGACCATCRGTTTTCTTCCACTTATCCGGGATCAGGTCGCGGGGCAGCAGCCTAAGCAGAGAGACCCAGACTCACCTCTCCCCAGCCACTTGGGCCAGCTCGTCTGGGGGAATCCCAAGGTGTTCCCAGTCCAGCCGAGAAACATAGTCCTTCCAGCGTGTCCTGGGTCTTCCTCTGGGTCTTCTCCCAGTGGGACATGCCCAGAACACCTCACCAGGGCAGTGTCCTGGAGGCATCCTAATCAGATTCCCCGAGCCACCTCAACTGGCTCCTCTCGGCGTGGAGGAGCATCGGCTCTACTCTGACCCCCTCCCAGATGACTGAGCTTCTCTATATGTGAGCCATCACATCGAAACAAGGATTAAGTCTCAAAGTGGTGCATGGAGAAATAGGCAAATATAGTGTTTTGATTGAAATGTTAAAAAATTACATTTTGTCAAAATACAGTGAATAATTTGAATGAAATGTCTGAAATAATCATAAAACAAAATTTTGAAACACTTTTTTGAGCAGTAGCTACAAAAAAACTGATTTTGAGGAAAAACGTGAGCTAACAAAGTTTTGTTTCTTTCCAGCTGGGAAATCTCAATCTTCAAATATAATGTGAGGTTTCCTTTTATAAGGACATCAAAAATTCCTCATTAAAATGACAAAATTAGGATTCAGACCAYATATTTATGCGTTATTGTAATCAATAAGACAAATTGAGTCATGTATATGGATTTGCTTATCAGAATGATCCAGGTATCAAAATGTAMCTTTTAAAGCCAAAAATCTGAAAATGTAATTAGGTCATTTTGACCAAATTTGACTTAATCCTCATTTCGAWATGATGAGTCACATATAAGAACATGATAGATTTACCAGATGTACTTTGTTGTTGTTGTGGTCACTCTTACTGTTTGAGCTACAGGAAACACCTCTAAACAAACTTCAGTCTCATCAGTGACGACCACCTGCTGTGCATCATCATGCAAATAATACATCACATCATCACAACAGCTRATTTTTTCCACATCTACTGATTTGGCTCTGTTACTACCTCACTGTGAGGCACGGGGGTCCATCAGGGGAGGGCTGACATGGACACACACACACAGAGCTGCAAGAAAAGTTCTAAGTCCTGYACTGAGGTGTCTTGTGAGACAGCGTGGTGTTTCTGATGAATTCCTGCAGGTTTTAAATCAGTTCTATTCTGGTGGTAAACCCAACCAACAAAAGTTTATAAATTACACATGGGATGTCACATCAGAYTAAGTGGGACTGGTTGACTGTCTAGTTTGTCTCCATGTAGACCTGAATTGGAATAGGAAACCTGGGTTTAATATACCTTTTGCCCAATCACCACTGGAGATGAGGACCAGACCAGGACCAAGTGAGTCAAGAAAACAAATGGATGTTTGAGTGTTTTTGAACGCAAGAAACTGTGAAACTATAATAAAAATTTTGCAAGATCACTTCCATAACTTTATTAAAATTCTTCCTTTTACTTGAATATACAGTGTGTGCTTATTATTATTATTATTATTATTATTATTATTATTATCCTGCCTAAGCTGTTTTACTTCATACAGTGAATCTCAGACTAGAAGCAGCTGTAGTCCTGGAAGTGGCACATATGGATGGTGCCATTTAGCTAAATGTACTCTGCCCAGGTCACAAGTTTCTTTTATCCCACAACCAACGTCATCGTGCTGCTCTGATGGTCTTCTTTTTTTTCACCCCTACCGGCCTCTCAAGCTGCTGAGAGGGGTTTAGTGAAAGTTGGGAAGTATAAAATCTGTAGTTAACATCTGCCTCTCTGTGGCTCTCATGCTCACCACTCAGGATGCTGCAACGTGTTGCATCCATCACTAAAAACAAGACTTTTATCTTCACCAATTCTGAAACAAGCTGGTGTTTATGTTCAGAGATGTCTCAATTTTTGGCAGATGGCAAACTGTGGGATTTGAATGGACTCAATTACCCACTATTTCCATTAGGACTATCTGCAATCAGTATAATATCAAATCCACATTAAAGGTTGGTTATCTGAATTTTAAAAATGGCACACTGCACACATAACTGGGATTAGGCTGCAGAATCTAATAATGATAGATACAGAAACCCCTGACAGATTTGTTCTCACAGTCAGAAATACGAAGGTTTGTTCAGATTATAAAAATTGAGTCATCATTTATAATGTATCAGATTGAAGAGGGTGGCGTGAGTGTTCATCAGCTGGGTGAGCATGAAAGATACAAATGTTTTCTTATAATGATGGTTAAACTTCATGCTGTCAGTTTTGTAATGCACAAAACATGGTGACTTTCTATGTAATAATTTATTTTAAATTTCTACTCCCTTTAATAAGTAATAAGAGAAAAATGTTTGTCTTGAAGCCAATACCTGACTGAAAATGCATAGAATCCATCAATCTGGAAGTGGATTTTCAGTTAGTTTCTCTCATAATTTATTCTCAAAATTTTTACGACAATGTTTTCCTGAAAGAGTTAAAATCTAAAATTAAAGAAAATTCCAAAACGTACATTTTTTTGTCTCACTTTCTGTGTTTTCCTGGAGAAACACAGCTGTAAGGATAAAGAAAAACATCACAGCCTCCTCTTTGTCTGATACTTTACAAGGTCGAAGAGTGATCTCCAGTAACGTCAGGTTGTCTTGGATTTAGAGTTCGTGTCGAAAATCTTCTGTAGCATGAACACAACTTTGAAATGTCACATATGCTGTATCTCACACATTAATATTAAGTTCTGTAGCAACAAAACAACAAGAACATGTGACCTCAGCGCTCTGTCTGCATGTGACCACATGGCTGATGGAGGATTTATGACTGTAAGATGCTGGTGAACACCATAGATCCTGTGTAAAACTCAAGGCCCATGAGCCAAATGTGGCCCACCAATGCATTTTATGTGAGTTTTAAACATGTTTTAATCTCTAAGAGTATGCATCATTTTCAATAATCTACATCTCCCATCTTCAACATTTTTCCCATGGAATGTCATCATCTCACCACTACATGGAGGTGCACAGGGTTCAAAAGTTACCGGCAGACAGTAAAATTTGCCATGTAAAATCTCCATTTCACTGTATTTTTAACAGCTACACTTAGGTCCATATCTATTTGGACAGAGACAACATTTTCATAATCTTGGTTCTGTACATTACCACAATGAATTTTTAACAAAACATTTTGATGCAGTTGAAGTTCAGTCTCTCAGTATGTTGAACAAAATGTTTCTTTAGAAATGTGAGGAACTAAAGCATCTTTTAAAGACAATCCCTTCATTTCAGAGGCTCAAATGTAATTGGACAAATTAAATAATTGTAAATAAAATGTTCATTTCTAGTATTTGGTTGAAAAGCCTTTGTTGTCAGTGACTGCCTGAAGTCTTGAACTCATGGAAATCACCAGACGCTGTTTTTAATGCTCTGCCAGGCCTTCACTGTGGAGGTTTTCAGTTGCTGTTTGTTTGTGGGCCTTTCTGTCTGAAGTTTAGTCTTTAACAAGTGAAATGCTCAATTGGGTTGAGATCAGGTGACTGACTTGGCCATTCAAGAATATTCCACTTCTTTGCTTTAATAAACTCCTGAGTTGCTTCGGCTTTATGTTTTGGCTCATTGTCCATCAGATCAGCTGGATCTGACACACAGTCTGGTTCTGAATACCTCAGAATTCCTCCGTCTGCTTCTGTCCTGTGTCACATCATCWATAAACACTAGTGACCCAGTGCCACTGGCAGCCATGCATGCCCAAGCCATCACACTGCTATGCTGTGTTTTACAGATGATGTGGTGCTTTGGATCATGAGCTGTACCACGCCTTCACCAGACTTTTCTCTTTCCATCATTCTGGTAGAGGTTGATCTTGGTTTCATCTGTCCAAACAATGTTCTTCCAGAACTCTGTTGGTTTTTTAGATGTTTTTTAGCAAAGTCCAGTCTAGCKTTTTTATTCTTGATGCTTATGAGTGTCTTGCACCATGCAGTGAACCCTCTGTATTTACTTTCATGCAGTCTTCTCTTTATGGTGGATTTGGATATTGATACTTCTACCTCCTGGAGAGTGTTGTTCACTTGGTTGGCTGTTGTGCAGGGGTTTCTCTTCACCATGGAGATTATTCTGTGATCATCCACCACTGTTTTCTCCAGTGGACATCCAGGTCTTCTTGCATTGATGAGTTCGCCAGTGCTTTCTTTCTCAGGATGAACCAAACTGTAGATTTTGCCACTCCTAATATTGTAGCAATTTCTCAAACTGTTTTGTCTGTTTTTGCAGCTTAAGGAGGGCTTGTTTCACCTGCATGGAGAGCACCTTTGACCGCATGTTTACTTCACAGCAYAACCTTCCAAATGCAYGCAGKACACCTCAAATCAACTCCAGACCTTTTATCTGCTTAATTGAGAATGACATTAARGAAGGGARTGCCCACACCTGTCCATGAAAGAGCTTTGGAGTCAGTTGTCCAATTACTTTTGGTCTCTTTAAAAACAGGGTGGCACATGTTGATAAAGGTACTGAACTTACAGAGCACTTTTTAAGTCCCTCCGGACCCCAAAGCGCTTTACACTAACAGACAATTCACCCATTCACACACTGATGATGTCAAACTACTCTGTAGCCACAGCTGCCCTGGGGCACACTGACAGAGGGGAGGCTGCCATGCACCGGCGCCACCGGACCCTCTGACCACCATCAGTAGGCAAAGTAGGTGAAGTGTCTTGCCCAAGGAAACAACGACTGAGACAGCTGGCCGGGGGATCGAACTAGCGACCTTCTGGTTCCAGGACGACTCCCCTAACCACTCCACCACAGCCGCCCCATACATGTTAAGGAGCTGAAACTCCTAAACCCTTCATCCAGTTTTAATGTGGATACCCTCAAATGAAAACCGAAAGTCTTTATGTCCATGTGCATTGACTTGAATATGTTTCAGTAAACAGGTTAAAAAAACACGTTATGTGTCACTGTCTAAATACATATAGACACAACTGTACTTTTTCTGCAGAAAGTGGGAGAGTTCAAAATTCAAGAGAGCAGCTACTCACCACAACTCAACAACAGTGAGCAAAACTCTCTTACTTTTACTTTTAATATTATTTCTATTATTTATTTAACATTTWGTAAGTTTTACACATAGTACCTTCCAGTCTTTATYAAAGGACGTGTTAAAACACTGTTTCTATGCAGGAAATCCCACMTAGAGCTCAGTTATTGTTTGTTAGTGATGCTCAGCCAAGACAGACAGGGAATGAGACAGTTTGTGTTTAGTTGAACTTTAACATGAAACATAGAAGTTTATTACAACTAACCCTTTGAGGGCCATTATAATGTTCATATAGCCCCTGGTGAAAATGAAGGACTGCAGTGCAGATATGCCACGTGTGTGAACACCATATCATTGTAATACACACCATGCTTACAGTGTAGTACATTGTAAAATGCATCAGACCTTTGTTGTTTAATTACTGATTTTAGGTATTTAAACAGTAGAAGAATTTCAGTGCTATCTTTATTTTTCATATCTAAACCTCTCAGGTATAAAACACTCAAAATATCTGTAATATGAAAGAACATGTCCAGATGAGAACAGAGTGTGAAGTGAATATTTTTGTGACCATCTTCAGATCTATTTAAATTACYTTGGGCTTTACCCTGAAACAAAACCACCGTTCTGAATCGTGCTTTTTTGACAGTTTATGGATTCTGTCATGTTTCTCAGCTTACAAGATAAGTGTCATTATACCTCAAATGAAAAAACATTATTATAAAAAAACAGAAATCTTACCGAAAACAGTCTGAGCACGTTGGCCACCATGATGGACACGGAGCTGCCAGAGGCCCCGATCACTCCAACCACCCTCTCTGGTTTGGGGATGATGGGGGGCTCTCCGTTTGAGCAGCGCACGTCCGAGTTGTCCTTCTGGATGAGGGCCTGGACGAAGGTGAGCGACTGCTCCAGGGCGTAGGTGTCTCGGGAGCAGGTGTCCAGGATTCGTGCTCCTAGAGTGATGTTGGGCAGCAGGTCGGGGTCGCTGTTAATCTGGTCCAAGGCGTACAGCATGGCCTCCAGTCGATGGATCCCCTTTTCCCTCTTGATCTCGCCACAGGGGACACCAGCGGGCCCTCGAGAGTGCAAGGGGAAGAGCCCGCCGAGGGTGATGTCGCCCTCGATTTTGATGGACTGAGGCTGGGCGCCCTGCTGGGCCCGTGAGAGCGGGCCGATGCCCACCAGTAGAACCGCCAGCAGCTGAAGCCATGTCTGGTAGGTGAACAATGAGCCAGGCCAGCAGAACAGAGATGAACAGACCTCTAATATCATGATGATGACAGCAGGCTCTACCTTTGACACCTGAGGGTGGYGGGACAGAGAGACCATCATTACATCCTGCTAACAGTTTGCTGGAGTGTCAAACTCAAGGCCCATGGGCCAATCTGTGCCTTGTTAACGTTTTTTCTGGCCCCAAAAATAAATGGTTTGTGTTTATTCTTCTCATGACTGTAATCATCTTTAACCATCTTTTTTTCTATCCTACTCTTATTTTAAAGTCAAATGATTGAATTTTAGTGTGATTTTTCTATTTTAAACTGGTTTGCTGGATTATAGCTGTAAAAAATAATACATGGAAAAGTTATTAACAGGGTTTTTCTTAGGTATGTGTGTTGTAAACACTACATAAAATACAATTTAGATAAGTTAATTTTGTGTTTCTGTGAGCATTAAAACCAAGATCATTGTTCAATAAATACTGACAGAGATTGGTCCTATTTGGACCAAGTTTTACATTTTGGGCCCCTGGTGTATTTGAATTAGACCCCTCCTATAGAGGTTTATTGAGGAAACGAACAGAAGCACAATCATTGCTGGACCACTCAGACAATATTCACAATGGACTGAAAGCCTGCTGCATTTTACAACAAGACATTCAGATAACTTTCAGACCATACGAGGTGAAATCTGATTTGATGAAACAAAGATTAAACCATTTGGCCAAGTGGAATAAAAGCAGGCACTGATATTATCTCTACAGTCACATACGGGTCAAAGATTAGTCAGCATGGAAAGAAAGATGGAAACAGAAACACAAATCCTGGTGGTCTCAGATGAAGGTGTATATATCAACAAAAACCTGAAGAACATAGAGGGGGTTTCAGGAAACTTTAAAAACAATTCCAGAGTCTGGTCCTGAACGCAGCTTAGCATCTGAAAGTCATTTAATGTGGTTGAATGAGTATGAAACCTTCAAAACCCTCAGCACTAAAGTAAAAAATAAAATAAAATAAAATAAAAATCCATTATTTTAATATAAATCCAAACAAACTAACTTATTTTAATGAACAATTAATCTGGTCTCCAGAGCAGATGCTTTAATCTGTTCGAATAAAACATGTAAATGTTCAAGTAAAGAACTGCCAATATGAGCTTTTATTTAGAAGGGGCATCATCTGGAAC